CCCCAAAACCCCAAAACCCCAAAACCCCAAAACCCCATTATATTATGGGATGGCTGAAATAATATATTTAAAGAAGGTAGGTCATTAGAAAATTGATGAAAGCTTAACAAGTTAAAGGAGTTTTGATATCAGAAGTAGGACTAGGAGTGGATTACTGGTGCTTTAAAGCAAGAATTTGAGCTTGAATCTATAATTTGAGCCTAGAGGGAGAGTAGATAATTATAGGTATAGTTATGAGAGCCAATTTGATTATTTATAGCTATAGAAAGATGAGGAGCAAGAGATATATGGAGGACGATGAATTTGGATTTCAAGATTCAGGGAAGGTGTAAGTATTGCTTATTTCATCAAATTTTCTAAATTTTATATCTAAATCTTCTGTTAAGGAAAAGACCACAAATGAAGAAAATTTTAAATATAAAAGGAGATGATATGGACAGTCCTAAAAATTCTTATAAAAAGTCCTTACCAAGCAGAGGTAATTTCTCTAAAACATCTCAATTCACTCATTTTAAAGGCATATATGACTAATTTTTGTAGCTAGCTACACATCAAGCAGGGCTTTAATCAAAAAGAAGAATATTTTAGAGATGCAGCCTTCTCTCACCAGCATTCCAGCTCTAATCTCCACTAAGATCAAGAGGATCTTCAAGAAGCGAGAGAAGTATCAAGAGAAGATAGCTAAGATTAACAACCGTATTTACAATAACAAAGTAGAGATCCGGAGCCTCAAGGCGAAGATTTATGACGAGGAGATGAAAAACACCTCTTTAGAAGGAAAGAAATTAATTCAAGCCAAAAACTCCGAAATTTACCTTGAAATATTTCCTTTTAGAGTTCCTCAGAGCTATGACCAGTCCTTGACCAAAGATCTTGGACTGGAGGATACTAGCTCTAGGATTCGATGCTACAATTCTGTAGCATACTCTACATTTACAGAGGTTGGGATTAAATTGGCATCTCAAGTGAAGACCTATTTTTACTACGAAGTTTTAGATGGCAACCATACCTTCTTCTCTAAGAAGTATGAGTGGAAGCCCAATGGTGAATTCCAAGATCAGTATGGATTTAAGTAATCTCTGTAGGCTCAAAGGAACTAAGTTCAATTGGAAGATCAAAACAGGCAATGAGAGTATCAAGATCAGGCTATATTCAGAGACAGTTGCTCAAACAAACAGCTCAGTCTCCTCGAAGCCTCGTAATTTCTTCTGTTTAAGGTGTAGAGTATGACATTGATGCGAGAGTCATTGATGAAGTTGAATTTTCCTTAAAATAAGAACTTGATGTCCCTTGCACATCAAGAGAAGATTACTAAGTGATTGAAAGCAGCAAAGAGTCAACTCAGAGCTCCTTTTCAGGAATGGGACAGAATTTTCAAGTTCACAATTCAATGGATTCACAATATTTATGAGTATAAACTAAAATAAAGAGTTCTCTAAGGCTCATTTGCTTGAGAAAGAGAAGGAAGATCTGATGTCCAAGTATAAAAATGTGACCAAAGAGCTTGAAACTCTTCAGCATGAGGATGGAGTTGGAGTCTTCAAGAAGTTACTCACTCAATCACAAAGCTTAGCAAGTTTGCCCCCACATTCCTCTGAGGGCTATAAGAGCAGTTAAGATCAGGGCCTTAGACTTAGCTTTCAGTTTGGGAATCTCAACAGCTTTGTTGGGTTAGGAATGTTTAGCACAAATTTTGTCGTTTCTTACTATGTGATATAGGGCTATCATATTCCTCAGATGATGAATGGGAAGATGTAAGTGATTCATTGATTTTAGCAAAATACTCTATCTTCCATTTCTATCAAATTTGTGTAATATTTTCGTGGTGGTTGTTTTCTCTAATAATCAGAAAATTTTTGAAATTTATGTCAATATTGTGGTCAACCTTTCCTTAGCTAAAAATCAACAAAGATAGCAATACAAATTGCTCATCCACACAAAGTAAGTTTTTCCTGAAATTGATGGACGAGTCAACGCTGATTATATAGAAAGTAATGCAACTCAGGAAAAGTTACAGCCAGAGCCGAGTGGTATATCTTCAGGCAAAAGCAAAGCCTTCAAATTCTCTCTTGTTGGCAACATGATGAGTAGCCTCCTTCAGAAGGAGGACTCTTCAAAGTTCTCAGAATTGTCCCTTAACGCAGGGATTCCAGAAGAAGAATAATTGCATATTCTTAGTTTCCTTAATTTTCAATAATGCAGCTAACTTTGGGGTTTTGGGGTTTTGGGGTTTTGGGGTTTTGGGG